CTGGTTTAAAAGCTTCTTTAAGAAGATCATTAATGTATTTTTATTGTGAAATGAATATTCTTTTACTGGAGTGGGCCACTTCAATTCCAAAAAAGTATTTTAATCTTTCAAAATATTTGATTTCAAATTCCTTGGCAAGACATTTCTTTCAAATAACTTTCTCCTTTTCATCATTCTCAGTTAAGATGATATCATTCACATAAACTAATAGAATTGTGACTTCCCCTGAATCTTAGTGCTTGAAGAATAATGTATGGATGGTTTCTTTGGCTCTGCCAATAATCATTAAGTAGCATAACTTTTGAGAATCTTCAAAATTAAGCTCTAGGTAATTACTTTAATCCTATAGAGCCTTTTTTAACCTGCATGCTTTGTTACTCCTAGATTTCTCCTTGAATCATCGTGGAATCTCCATAAATATTTCTTCTTCCAAGTCTTTGTATAGGAATGCATTTTTAACATCTATCTGTTTCAGTTGCCAGTTGTAATTAGCTGCTAGTGAGAGCAAGATTCTCGTGGTATTCATCTTGGCCACCGGTGCAAAAGTTTTCTAGTAGTCAATGCCATACGTTTGAGTATACTCTTTTGCCACCGATCTTGCCTTATACCTTTCAAGTGTACCCTCAGGTTTGTATTTTATAGAGAACATCCATTTGCAACCGACTGATTTTTTTTCCTATTAGTAGGCCAGTGATCTCCCATGTATTGTTCTTATCTAGGGCCTACATTTCATCTTTTATGGTACTTTTCCAATTTTCATTAGATAAGGCCTCATAAATATAATTAGGAATATAAATGCAATTTATTGTAACCAAAAATTTTTTGTGTGAAGGTGAGAAATTATGGAAGGATACAAAGTTGTATAGGGTACAAGGGCAGTTTTTTTGGGTGAACTTGTGTTTACTTCAATTTCAGTAGACGGTTCAGATTCTTGGATCTGCTCTGGAGCATAATTTTGATTTGTACGCTTGGAATACACTTGCCCAAATCTTATGTTACCCATAATAGCTTTGTCCTTAGTTTCTCTAGCTTTGATTTTAGGTTTAGGTGGATTGATTTGAGGTGGAGTTAGAAGGTCAAGAGGGGCAAGCTCACTTTCCTCATATTCCTCGATTTCAATCTCTCCCTGAAGATGAGGTTTGGTGAAATAGGGTTTTTATTCATCAAAGATAACGTCAACAAATACAAGTATTTTTTTGGAGGGATGATAACACTCATAACTGTTTTGGGTGGATGAATATCCAACAAAGATATATTTGAGTGATCTTGGATCTAATTTTCCTCTATTTTGAATATGAATGTGAACATAAGCAGTGCACCCAAAAATTCTGGGTGTAAGGTTATTATGGGTTCGAAATTCGAGGTAAAAAGAGGATAGAAAATTCATTGGTGTTTTTAGTCTTAAGATTTTTGAAGGTAGTCGATTTATGAGATATGTGGCAGTCAAAAGGGCTTCGCCCTAGAATGATTTCAATATATTGTGGTGGAATACAAGTGTATGGGTGGAGGCTAAAAGGTGACAATTTTTTTTCTGCAACCTCATTTTGTTGTGGGGTGTGAATGCAAGAAGACTCATGAATGATACATTCTTTTTGAAAGTATGAGGAGAGGGTTTGGTTAAAGTAATCTTTAGCATTGTCTGAATGAAATTTTTTTATTTTTATCCCAAATTTGTTTTGGATCATGGTATTAAAAATGGGGAGGATAGTGCTAACATCATATTTGTTTTTACGGAGAAAGATCGAAGAGACTCGAGTTCAGTCTTCAATGAAGGATACAAACCATCGGGCTCCTGAGATGTTAGGGATTTTTTAGGGTCCCTAAATATCACTATGAATAAGTTAAAATGGAGTATTACATCTCTCATGTTTGTTTGAAAAAGAAACTCATTTATGTTTGACTAACTCACATGTATCACAATGAAAAGATTCATTTTTCCAACTTATAAAAAAGTTTTGGGTGCATATTTCTTAAGATATTAAAAGATGAATGTCTTAATCTAAAATTATGAAGTCAAATAGTTGATTTTTTATCAAGTAGGGATAACATAGAAGTTAAGTGTGGCAGAGATGAGGATGCTCAGGTGGATGAGTGGCTTTACCCTTAGAGATAGGATACGAAATGAGCATATACGTGAAAAGGTTGGAGTAGCTCCAGTAGAAGATAAGATTAGAGAGAGTCGCCTTAGATGATTTGGTCACATAAAAAGGTGGCCTTCCGATGACCCGGTTAGGAGAGTAGAAGTATTAGATTTGACTTGTGTTAAGAAAAGTAGGGTTAGACCTAAAAAGACTTGGTTAGAAAATATTAGGAATGACCTTTCTTTATTAGATTTAAACGAGAATTTGACTTTTAATAGGATAATGAAGAAATTGGATTCATGTAGCCGTCCCCACGTAGTGGGATAAAGGCTTGTTGTTGTTGTTGTTAGGGTTAACATAGAATATCCATTAATTATAATATTAGATTTGTTCAACTCTTCCAAGTAGTACAATCCATCCCTATTCTTAGCAAGTCCAATATTCTTCTCCAATCTTTAGTCCTTAAATAAACAATAAGACTTAACAATTATGGTCATTGCTAAGTTTCTGTATGGAGATTAGGTTTGTGGATAATTAAGGTAAGTAGAACACATTTTTTAGAGTGAGGGAGGGAGATAAGTGTGTCTCCTTGGCCTGCTACTGTAATAAGAGAACCATCAGCAGTAATGATTTTTTTGTCACTTGGGAAAGTAGTATAGTTGATGAAGTGGGTAGTGGAGTGTGTCATGTGATATGTGGCTTATAAGTCAATGATCCATAATACTTTCAAATGATTTCTAGAGGCTCTTACTCCAATGGATATAGAAAATTTTCCATAAAGTATAAGAGAAGAAGATGCAGTGCTTTTTCAAGGGATATCATAAGATATTTTAGTTTATGAATATTTTCTTTATTGAGATCTCTAAAGCTGGCTTGCGTTTTTGGGTTAGGTTGATTTGTTATAGTGTTGGCTTGTGACATTCCGTTTTATCCACTTCTTTGATTCCACTCCTTACTTGGGGGCTTTCCATTTATCTTCTAGCATGTCTACTTTGTGTCTTGGTTTCTTGCAATAACTGCACCAAAGAGATCTCTTGCAATAACTGCACCAAAGAGAGTCTTTGTCTTTAGGTTTTTAGGAATCTTTATCTTTTTCCTTCAATGACGCCTTTTTGGTTGACACCATTACTGAACTTTCAACTACCTTTGGCTTTAACATTACCCCTCGCCGGCTTTTCTCAGCACGAATGAGAGAAATGGTATCGTTTAATGAGGGTGCCTCCTATTTTCTAAGGATCTGAACTCTAACCTGATCAAATTCCACATTTAATCCTACAAGAAAGTCATACACTATCTTTCTCAACAAAATTTTCAGGATAACAACATCTTCTGGACATTTGGTCTCTATGCATCTATATTAATCAAGTTCTTGCCACAAGGCTTTTAGGAGAGTGGCACATCCATTATAGTTTTGCTTCCTTGTTTTGTGCTTCCCACCTTGACCTTAATTTCAAAGATCTGGATAGCATCCCGAGCCTTTGACAAGGTTTGTCTGGCGGCATCCCATATGTCATTTGCAGTATATAGGAACATAGAAGTATCACTAATTTTTGGAGTCATGGAATTCCATAACCTTGACATAATCATGGAGTCCGCTTCATCCCATGCCTAAAAATTAGGATCTCCTTCTTTTGGTCCTACCCCAAGGAGGTGATTCAACTTTCCTTTCCCTTTCAAGTAGGTCTTCACAAATTGAGACCGCTTCAAGTAATTCTTCCCATTTAAGCTATATGAAGGTTGTATATTTTGGAGATCACCTCTTCCTTGGTACATCATAGAGTCCTCCATTTGGTCAAAGCTTTGAGAGGAATTCACTTCAGACATTGCATCGACAAATGATAGCGATGAAGGCTATATCAAGCAGTGCAACAAGGAAGGCTGCATTGGTTATAGATAGGATAACAACAAGGGAAGGTCGGCAATGAAGACACGGTAGTACAAAAACTCAAAATTCTGGCAATGACGATGAAGGCTGTGATGCCATGTTAAATTCAAAGAATTGGAGAGGTAAAAGCCTTAATTTTATTTCACAAAATTATCCCTATTTATAGATCTATACAAGATATCTTAATAAAGAAACAAATAATTATAAAATCACGCATAATTGCTCTAACATAATCCTTCCTAAATCAGCCAACTAAATATGGAAGGAAATTGGTGTGATCCAGGTGAGTCTCCCACCGATTCCCATCCTAGCTGTGGGATCAAAATGCTAAGGGACGGCTGAGATTTAATAGTTGAACCTCCCACGGATTCCCATTCTATCCGTGAGATTAAAATGCCAAGGGACGACTAGGATTTAACATGATTCTATATGTATGTATGTATAACTAATGATATTATTACAAATTAGTTTGGTATATACAATTGACCTCTTTTCTCTATACGGTGAAGTTTAAATGAAAATCAATGAATCTTGTCTAGGCCTGATGATCTTATTACTCATTATGTTCTGCAAGTAATTGCTTTTGTATATATATACACACGCAGACACATACATATGTATGTATGTATAACAATGATATTGTTACAAATTATTTCGGTATATACAATTCACCTCTTCTCTCTAAATTGTAAAGTTTCAAATGAAAAATAATGAATCATGTCTATGGCCAGATGATCTTATTACTCATTATGTTCTGCAAGTGATGGTTTTTTGGTCATTTGAAAAAAAATAGAATATTATTTTTATGATCGTCTTATCTTTTAAGTTTGATAAAAAAAGAAAAAAAAAGTTTGATATGCAGAAAGGATACTTGCTTTGCTTTTGAAATTTTTGGTTATTTTGGCTTGTAACTTGTCTTGTTTTTTCATTTATTCTCAAATAGAATAATCTGGAAGTTAATCTTCTATTATTTCACACTGCATTAATTTTTTGTTATATTTATTGGAATTTTGACTTTTATTTTAAACAATTAGGTTCTTCCTCGAGAGAATGGAGTAAGTTATTCTTGGAAATTTTTGTTTCCTAAGATATTATGGTGGAAGAAGATTCCCTTTGATCATTTTGATGGTCCTGACCGACCAAGTTTTGAGATGTTACCAGAAGAATCTCACTTTTTTGGTGAAGGATCTTTTGACCATGCTTTTGAAGCAATTAGCTTGGATATGAAACAACTAGAACTTGATGACCGGTTTGTAGGCGACAAATATTTTTATTGTGTTATGTTATGTTTTTCATTTAATGCATCCAAAAGGTTTTATTAAATATTTTTCACTAACTACCTTTTAAATTTTATAGATGTATTAAGCTCCGAAATCTTCATAAGGTTTATGAGTCCGAAAAGGGAAAATGTTGTGCAGTCAACTTCCTCAACCTCACATTATATGAAAGTCAGATTCTTGCTCTTTTAGGTATGCATATCCTTTTTTATTATTTGTTAATAATAAATTTTTTGTTCTTTAGTGAAAATTGTGATTTTTGAAAACTGTGATGGAAAATTCACGTAGACTGTTTCGTAATCATTTACTTCAATGGTATTGGACTGGGGCATGTACTAAAGTTTACATTCTTTTTGGTCTGGTATATGAGACAGACTTTAAACTACTCTACTTCTCTTTATAGAGTTATTATGTTTCTAATTTGCTTCCTTTTTATTATTTTAAATGACATTTTCTTCCTTCATTTCAACTTTGCCACACTTCCATTTTTTTTGGACCCACACTTGATTTATTTTAAAGATGCGTGGTTTTTCAATTTGATTTGTGAGATTGTTTTTTGCCTAATGCTTCCATGTAGCTGAGCATCTCTTTTATATGTGGGCACTTAGCTTGATCTCCAACCTTCTTGTTGGTATCTTTGTAATACTTTTTTGCTATTCCCTTGAATTTCACCCTTTTAACGTTTATGTGAGGTTACCGTAATTACTATAATATGTTTGATGGGTCATGGATGCTTGCCTCATGAGTTTTGTTTGATGTCAAACTGATGAGGACATCAGGACATGGAAAGTTTATTAGAGGCGTGGCCGTCTATCTATGACCACGATTGCACCGCTCTACTTGTGATTTTTTATATTTATTATTTATATATTAGTTTTGTTTATGAAGTTTTATTATGCTTTTTTTATTTTTGCCCTTAAGGGTTTAGGTATGTGTACGCCCTAGAGGCATAGTAGTACTTTGTATTTTCTCATTGTATGAGCTATTTAAAGCCTTCCCTTCGGTTGAGAGTTAATTAATGATAATAAAAAAAATTTCCGGCAACTGTTTGTTTTGTTGAGCATGAGAGCGTGAGAGCTTTGGAGAGAGTCCTTTGAGAGGGAACCAGATCACCCACCAACCTTGGAAGCGTCCGGGTTCGTGGCTTTTATTTTCTTACTTCCTTTTCATTTCGTTTCTCCCTTCCCCTTCCTCCTAGCCGCTGGCCTAGGGACCCTAACCCCTTAGCCGCCTGTTCTCCCTATCCAAACCCTCGCTTTGCCGTCGGCCAACTCCACCCAACCAACCCACCTCCCCTCCACACCCAACCGGCCTTCCTTCTCCCACCACCAAGCCATCCAACCCACAAATCCTAACCCGAATCCTAGTCTAGCCGCCGGCCATCCCATCTTCCTCTCGCCTCCAAAATTCAAATCCCTCATTTATTTCTTTCCTTTTCCATGCAAATCATTTTGAAAAAGCTTTCAATCCAATCAACCAATCAATATTTGAAATTCGAATTGTTTCCTAAAATAAAGTTCTATTTTAGGAAACTTATCCAATCAAATCCAATTCAAATTTGAATTGGATTTGGAATTAATTTTTTTCCTCCTTAATTGAAATTCCCAAAGAGGCAAGAACTAAAGACCTTTCCCCAATCCCCTCCACTCCTTTTGAAGCCGCCAGCCCCTTGCCTCCTTCCCCATTTAATTTCTTTCCAAAATCTAGACTCCAATCAAATGAATTAATTCCGTAATTCCCTCCCTTCCCCTCTTCCCTCTCTCTACCCGCCACCCACATCGAACCCTAGCCTCCAGCACATGCTCCACTGCTGTCCAAAAATATCAAAATAAGTAAGAGAACTATCCAAGAAGATCTCTTAGTTGCTGTCCAGTGAAGATCAGGGAGTTGTCCTGGCGACTGTCCATTGGTTCGAGAAGACCCTTGATTGCTGTCTACTGATTCTTGATTCAAGATACTTGCTGTCCACGGTCCCCTCCATCAATAACTTGCTTCTAAACCTGGATGAATGTGAGACGCTTCCTCCAAATCCTTTATCATTCTCGTTGCTTTCGATTGTAGCTTTAATTGAATCATGAAAGTTGTGTTAATCCTGTCCGCTAAAGCTTAGTGTTTAGTAGGATTGTGTGAGGGATCTTTCATAGCTCTACTCTCATTGTTAGATTAGGGTTATCTTGTTGAAACCTATCTCGTAGGTAACGTCAAGAGTAATTGATTGTTTTGTTGTTCTTACTTTCCACAAGTAACTTGGCATAATCTTGTGTTTACCACTCGTAGTGTTTTATTTTATTGTTTAAATGACCATAAATATTTGTTATAAAAATTAGTTTAATTTTAAAAATTATGATAATTGGAAAATATATAAAGTGGCTCGTAAGGATTGTAAGAAAGCAATATGCGATGCAATGACATTAACTTTTAGTGATTTATATAATCTATTAAATACTAAGGAGGGAGAAAGATATATTTATAAGTTAGCCAAACAAAGATATAGGAGTAGTAAGGATTTAGTTCAAGTGAAGTGTCTTAAGGATGAAGATCAAAAAATACTTTTCTTAGAAGATGATATTCAACAAAGGTGGATGAGATATTTTGCTAAACTTTTTAATGAAGATTGTGAAAATAAGATTGATTATAGTGACCTTAGCACCTTAAATGAAAATAAAGATTTCTGTTTTTATCGACGTATTAGTAAAACTGAAGTTAGAGAGGCTTTAAAGAAAATGAAGGGTGGAAAAGCTGTTGGACCTGATGATATTCCAATAGAGGTGTGGAATTGCTTAGGAGATGAAGGGATTTCTTGGCTTACTAAACTTTTTAATACTATTTTGAAGACTAAAAAGATGCCAGATGAGTGGAGAATGAGTGGGTTAATTCCTATTTTTAAGAATAAAGGTGACGCACAAGATTGTATGAATTATAGATACGAAATGAGCATATACGTGAAAAGGTTGGAATAGCTCCAGTAGAAGATAAGATTAGAAAGAGTCTCCTTAGATGGTTTGGTCACATAAAAAGGCGGCCTTCCGATGACCTGGTTAGGAGAGTAGAGGTATTAGATTTGACTTGTGTTAAGAAAGGTAGGGGTAGACCTAAAAAGACTTGGTTAGAAAATATTAGGAATGACCTTTCTTTATTAGATTTAAACGAGAATTTGACTTTTAATAGGACACAATGGAGAAAAAGGATTCATGTAGCCGACCCCACGTAGTGGGATAAAGGCTTGATGTTGTTGTTGTTGTTGTTTAAATGACCAGAAAGATTTAATTAAATTGCTCTTAATCATTAAGCGTGCAAAATTCTTATCTAAATCATAATTTTGTATATGTCATGCATCTCAAACTTGTAAAAATCCTTATTTAGGTTATTCTAAGAAAAAGTTCAAATCTAGGTGGTGATTTAATATCCCTATTTTGGTCCCCTTCGGTCAAACATGAGATGTGGGAGAGGTGGACAATCCAGTGTGACATATTTCTCACTAATACTCATCTTAACTCTTACTAAATAAGGCTCTGCTGTAGAACATTTATCTACCTATATTGTTGCAAAATATAAACCTTTCTTATTGATCATTCAATTGATCTAATATTACTATTCATATGGAAGTATGCATAGTTAGAGTCATCAAAATGAACTATAGAGAATCTAATTAACTTCATTAATAATTAACACATGCCACATGTTTTTAATATATATCATAAAAATTCTTCTTCCCTGATACAATCTAGGATAAATAGAATCACCTTACTATGACCAAATGCGCTATTTTTCTTTACTTGAAAATAACATCCATAATAATCTTTACTGAAATATAAAGCTATGTGGAATAAACAAGTTTAATACATAGTATAAAATATTAGAAAAAAGAGACTAATATGTCAAGCTAATCTTCAATTGATATAATTATAAATAATCATAGCTATAACTTGCTAAGTGCAATAAGCATTTAATTAAGACATGATCTGACAATTGAATAAGTATATATGACATTATCATAAGCAATAGTCATGGATTGTTCCAATGAATGAAAATATAATTGGTGAATATGTATTATGAAAGTCAAATTGATGCGGACATCCAACGGTGGACGTTAATCAAAGGAAGAGACGAAGTTCGACGGCCAAGATCCCTCCATTTTTATCTAAGTTTATTAATTGTTTTTTTTTTAATTTAATTATCCATTTTTCGTTTTTACCCTTAAGGGTCTTGTCTTTTGTAAGCCCTAGGGGCAAAGTTGTCTTTTAGTTTCTTTTAAGGCCTATATATAGAGGCCCTTGCTCTTGTATTAGACAATGATGAATTATTAAAAAAAATTGTTTCTACACTTTGTTCATGAGAGCGATGAGAGTTCTTAGGAGAGTGGAAGTCCTTATGTGAGGGCAAATACCCACCAGCCGCAGGATGTGTCCGGGCTAGTGGTTGAAGTCCCTTGGTGAAGGGCAATGCATCACCCGTCAGCCTCAGGAAGTGTCCGAGCTCGCAGTTTATCTTCTGTCCCTATCTCCTTCCCCCTCTCTTTCTCCACCGACCATCTTCTCCTCGTCCCCTTTCCTTACCCGCCAGCTACACAACTAATTCTCTAAGGCTCCAATTCCCAATCATCCTTTTATTACTTTCCTAATTTGATTCAAAGTAATTTGGGAATTTCAAATGAATTTGAGATTTGAATTACCCTCATTAATTTGAATTAATTGCACAATTCCCTCCCATCTCTTAATTTTAAATTTTGAAAGGTCTTTCATCCCTTTCCTAATTTAAGATTCTAATTAAAGAATCATTCAATTACACCATTATCATCTTCCTATTTTAGCCCCTATCTTATTTGGAAAGATTTCATAATTCAAATTCAAAGGAATTTGAATTAAAAAATCTTTCCTATATATCCTACACCTATTTTAGGAAATTCCCCCAATTAGTGCAAATCTGAATTAAATGATTAGATTTTAATCTAATTCCCCCTATTCAATGTATGTGGACACATACATCGAATTTGGACATCTTTCCTCCCTCCTTGGCCAACCCTCTCTCTTCCCTCCATCTTAATTATTTCCTTCTTAATTAAAGGCTCCAAATAAGGAGATAATTAATTCCTCTATTCCCTCCCTTCTTTTCGTATTTGAATCTTAAATTCAAATCCATTATTTAAGGGAAATCTGAGATGGAATTTTAGATCTTTAAATTTTTATCACCCC